TATATATATATATAAACAGGAAAATAAGTAATAATTTTTCTACACACCAGGCAAGTACAATTGCTTTAACAGTATATTAATCCCAGCAATTTGAAGCACTGGAAGGCTCTTCAGAAACCAGGTAAGTGTGGGAGAGGAAAGACACTCCAGCTCACCTTCACCAACATGTCAGCCACATGAGTGTCTTGAGAGTCCTCTGCGAACACAGAGGTAAGAGCCTCAATATACCAGGATCCACGCTTCGTGTTTCGCATTGCTGCAGTGCCTGACAAGAAAGTGTGTATGATGAAGATTCTGGGAAACACAGACACAAAAAACCTGCTTATGTCCTAACAATTAGGGCCTCTCCCCAGTACCTTTCAGACAAGCATATCCACAGATCATATCAGAGCATGTAGGCAGACGCAGCTTGAGATTTTCTTCCTTGTTTGCATCACTTTCCTCACAGCCTGGGGAATCTGACCATTCTTTCCCATCTCTTTGATCCACTCCCCGGTCAGTCTCATCTGGGGGGAGGGGTGGCAAGAGACAAGGAGGGGAAAAAAAAAAAAAAAAAGAAAAGAAAAAAAATTATCCTGAATTAATGGATGTAGTTTTCCTGTACTTCCTTAGTTTTGGGGCCTGGTCAGCAATGCCACAACTGCTGTCAAGCAGAAAGCTTTTGCATGAACTTGGCTTTTTTAGCTGTTTTACACCTCAACTGAAAGTTTTTCTGATGCAGATAGCAAGCGCTGAACCTGTTCAACCTAATGTGACCGTTAGTCTGCATGCTGATTGATTTTATTTTTTTTCCTGCTCTCCTTTCCTGTGTAGATCAAGGGATAACTGGCAAATCAAATAAGGTTCTGATAGTTCTTCACCATGAACGGAAAGATCTGATGCCTAGCCCTAAAAGTTTCTATTTTCCAGTTTTACCTACCTTAGAAATGTCCAAAAATGTCTAGTCTAGTTTGCAATGCTAACTACCTACTTATTGCAGAACTCAAATGAGAGCATTAATTTTAGTTGCTAAGCTCTACCTCCAAGAAGACAAGAAAACATGGACCAAATATCTTATCTAGTTCAAAAACCTGACTATAGTATCACTTGTTTCAATCAAAAGCATAAATTATGCAGTAGTAAAATGCAAAATAATTTGACCCCAAACATGAGAAGGAGAGGGAACTAGTACATGGAGATTAGTTTAAAACCTAGAGAACATTTAATGTCCTTTCCAGGATTCATTAGGATGTATTATGGCAATTGTAGATATTCTCAACTGGTTGTTTACATGATACAGTTTCCATTGTAATCTAGGCTAACTGCTTAGTGGCAATAACTTTAATAGTCCAGCTATGCTGTAAGAAAAATAAAACTACATTTTAGAGGTTTTCCATAAAATGTTGCCCTTTTCTTCTTTTGTTGTATTAAAATCTACTATTCTAGTTACTTCCTAACAGCATGGTTCAGATTCTAGTCTTAGGAGGCATAAGCATCCACTTCAGAGGCCTTCCCGTTATGGCTCTAGGTTTTTGTTGCCAGGTCATGCCTAAGAAATACACTTGGATTTCTAACCCTTTTACAGACAGTGGCACTGGTAGCATCTCATAATTATGCCTAGGAAGTGGTCAGTTCCTCGGTCAGCAATGTTGTTTTTTTCCTCCAAAATGAAAGCAGCAGTGGGAGGGGTGCGATTGTCTGACAAGCTTCATATAGGCTATAACTAAGGCTCCACAGCTCAAAATTTCATGCATACTTCCATCAGGTTCTTTCATCTCTTTAAGGTAGCAATGAAAATTTCTCTACTTTTAGCCACACTTTTTTCATGCCTTTATCACACTTCTCTAAAACCTTTTAGTTCTATATCTTCTTAAAAAATTAGATTACTATTCACAGTGTATGTTATTTCAGATAATATTCAGGTAATTTTACAGTCAAGCTATATTATTCACACTGACATCATCCCGTAATGTATAAAGTCAATGCCTTTTTGATTTGTCTCATATATTTGTCTTCAAACATCACTCTAGTCAACTAACCAATGTAACTAAAGACTGTAAAGCACTAACCCTATCAAGATATTCCTCTGTATACTTAACCTCTGATTTACATCACCAATAACTACCACCCAATTTGATCCAGTCAGTTTAAATTTTACTGAAGCTCCCAGATCACCATTTTCTCAATTGATTTAAATAACTGCCAACTACCTATTTGTCATTATTTATCACAGTTCTTCACTTTTCTGGATGTCCTGGTTTTGGACAACTACTACATTAAACACAGATTTTAAGCAGTTTCAAAGTCTCCTTTTATGTCATAGTAAAATCTGATTATTTGTCTTTTCCCATTGCTTTCTGTTGCCACTGGTTTTTCATCCATGACTGTAGGTGGATTACTTCAAATCTTTAGCAGACTCCTGCCAAAGGCCCTTTGGACATTAAGCAGACTGTAACAACTCTTCTTTATCTAGATTTTTTTTAATATGTCATTAATAGAAGATAGATAAGGCTTATTACATAAACGTAGGGAAAACGAATAACCTATGCATTTCTCATTTTGTTTCAGTTGGTTCCAGCTAACTTGAATGTCAGAGAGATTGACTAATCTGAAGTTGTCCACTCTATTTATACAAACTTTTAAATGATGCTTTAAAAAAAAAATATTGGCTAGTCTAACCTTTGAATTCTGACAGGAAACGGTAAATGTTTTTGTTGACAGCTCAATTACTTTGTAACTAGCTTCCCGCTCCAACTATTAATCAAGGTTTATAAGAGAGGTTAAAAAAGGTAGTTTTCTGCTTTTGTTTTTGAAATTAAAGAAAGGTTTTTTTCCCCTTCAGTTGCTCAAGTCTCAATCCTTTGACTACTGCAGTATTCCAGTTCTGCAGCATTTTCAATAGCTTTCTTAACTGAAACCTTGTTGAAAATCAGAAGGCCAAGCCTGATTTGTTGATGTAAACAGACCCATTGAGGTAACATTACAGTCAAATAAACCTAATTGCCTAATTAGGTCAGCTGCCAATTCTGGCTTATTACATTTAACTACACACTGTTATAAGTCTGCATATTCATGTTTGTTCAAGAATATCTAAAGGTTCAATAACATAAGGAAAGCAATCACATTCAATTCATACTGTAAACATGCATGTTACAATATTTCCAAATGTTTAGAAGGACGTAGACTTTAGGTCTTTCTCTGCATTGGAATTAAGCATGAGTAGATAACAAGTGAATGAAACATTCTCTTGGCTAGAGGACAAACTAAAAAGCTCTGCTAAAAATGAAAGAAAGGACACTATTGCAAGGAAAAAGGGAAACGCTGTCCTGGGTTCAGCTGGGATAGGGTTAATTTTTCATGAGAAGCTGGGAGAGGGCACAGCCAGAGTAGCAGACCCAAACTAACCAAGGAGATACTGGATACCATGCTGATGTCATGCTAAGGATATCAGGGGAAGTTGGAGTTGGCCAGGGGAGGTTAGGTTTTTGCTGCTCAGGAAATGGGCTGAGCATCGGTTCCAGGTGGTGAGCAATTGTACAGTGTATTCTTATTATTGTTACTGTTTTTACTCTCTTCTAATTTCTTGTGTTGTGTTACTAAACCTGTCCTTATCTGAACCCAGGAGGTTCTACCTTGTGGTCTTCCAATTCTCCTCCCCATCTCATGGCAGGGGGGTGGGGGGGAGGTGAGCAAGCAGCTGCTCAGTTTGCAGCTGGTTTTAAAACCAAAACAAAAGCATGCACACTAGAAAAACTTCTCTATGACAAATAGAAAGATTTGTTTTTTCAAGACAGGACTTCTCTTTGGAGTATTTGCAGTTTCATAACAATCTCAAGTCCAAAGACTTAATGGAAAGATTTGGTTATTAGCAGATCTGAAAGGTAGGTAGTTACAGACATGAGTTTAGTTATAAAAGGAGGGAAAAATGAACAGCAGAATTAAAAATAAAAACAGAAACATAAAGAGTGGGAAAAGTATAAATCTATGAGAATGTAGAAAATAATTCTGTAACTACAATAGTATATGGAAAAGGGTCATCTGGAGGCTGAAAGCTGGATAGGGTAAATGGGGGGGAAAAAAAAAAAAGAAAAAGACTTGGCGCCAACTTCAATAGCACAAGATGTCAACACAAGAGACACAACACATCCAGGATCAAGAGAAAGACAGGACCTCAGACAACACTCCAGTGCTAGTGTACCACTCCACGCTGTGCTGCAATTTGATGCACCATATGCCCCACTCCCCCTACTACAGGCATAGCAAGAGAAAGCCTAGATATGTGAGTGGGATATGATAGAGCTTTATCACTGAGGTGCTCTGGGGTCTGCAAGTCAATGCACACACCTCATGCAGAGCAAAAGACACTTACAGAGCAACAGATGCAGTGGCAGCAGCAGGGCAGAGGGAGGTAAATATGGGTCCCACTTACACCTGAGAGAAGCAGAGAGGAGAGTTGACAGCAATTTGAATGTGAGGGTGTGTATGTGTGTAAAATGAACCTTAATGGCATGCCAAATACATGGCTTTTAGTATTGGGGCACTCACCTCCCCGGCAAGCCTGAATAAAGAACATTTTGGGCTTATTCTGGAGATTTGGACAGTTTGCATTATCAAAGAGCTGGAAAGCCTCCTGCAACTGAGAGAAGAAAGATAAATATTTTTCACTGCAGGCATTTGTAAGCCAAACCCACTAACACCTTGCTTCCCTGTATTTTGGTTATTACCTCACCAGTCTTGATATTTTCTCCTTTATCCCCAAACTAACTGTGTGACAAAAACATCCCTCCTCCCATCACCTCAGCTCCTACTAGTTTGCACTTTACATAGTATTTGTACAGAATGAGACAACTGAAATAACCTATCTGCCCTATTTCTATGCTATTTTTTATCTTATAGACCTCTCATAGACAGACTCCTGCACTTTTCTTCCCAGAAGCCCTTATTTAAAAAAAAATAAATCCTCTGTGTCCCATCACTTCACATTCTCTTTTTTTTTTTTTTTTTAAGCTTTTCTCATCTTTCTATTGGTATGGAAACAACAACACATCAGGACACAGGAATATACCTGTAGTAGTTTGCCATCACTGCCATAAACCCCACCCTCCACACCATGGGAAAGTAAAGCTACAATACAGGAATCCACATGCCGATGATCTGGCAGCTTAGAGAATCTTTCCAATGCATTCTGCATCTCCTGGAAAAGAGAAGAAAAATTGCTTTCTAGACTTGCACAAGGAAAGTGAGTCAGTGTACAGGGAAAACCAGAAATTAACAAGAAAAATAGAAATGTACAGGAAAAACAAAAATTGTCCTCCTGTTATGAAATAAACCCTATGTACATCAAATTTACAGAATAAAAGACATGTTCCATAAAAAAGCATAGAAAAATGTTCTTTTATGTAATATTCAGTCCTAAGATTGTGACCTAAGAATCACTTAGGACATTGCCTAGAAGGCAAATGCAGGTACTGGGAGAATGAAGAACTGCCCACTGTGGGAGAAGAACAGGTGTGAGACCATCTAAGGACCCTGAAGGTGCACAAGTCCATGGGACCTGATGAGATGCATCCACAAGTCCTGAAGGAACTGGCGGATTAAGCTGCTAAGCCACTATCCACCATATTTGAGAAGTCATGGCAGTCTGGTGAAGTGCCTGCTGACTGGAAAAAGGGAAATATAACCCCATTTATAAAAAGGGAGAAAAGGAAGACCTGGGAAACAATAGGCCAGTCAGTTTAACCTCTGGGCCTGGCAAGATCATGGAACAGATTCTCCTGGAAACTATACTAAGACACATGAAAAATAAGGGGGTGATTGGTGACAGCCAACACGGCTTCACTAAGGACAAATCACGCCTGACAAATTTGGTGGCCTTCTACAATGGGGCTACAGCATTGGTGGATAAGGGAAGACCAACTGACATCTTCTACCTGGACTTGTGCAAAGCATTCAACAGTGTCCCGCACATCATCTTTGTCTCTAAATGGGAGAGACATGGATTTGACGGAAGGACACTCGGTGGATAAGGAATTGGCTGGATCGTCACACTCTTCCCCCTCTACTCTGATCTCATGAGACCCCACCTGGAGTACTGCATCCAGCCCTGGAGTCCTCAGCACAGGAAGGACCTGTTAGAGCAAGTCAGAAGGAGGGCCATGAAGATGATCAGAGGGCTGGAGCACCTCACATACAAGGATAGGCTGAGAGAGTTGGGGTTGTTTAGCCTAGAAAACAGAAGGCTTTGGAACAGGTTGCCCAGAGAAGCTGTGGATGCCCCATCCCTGGAGGTGTTCAAGGCCAGGCTGGATGGGGCTTTGAGCAACCTGGGCTAGTGGAAGGTGTCCCTGCCCATGGCATGGGGGTTGGAACTAGATTATCTTTAAGGTCCCTTCCAACATTCTAGGATTCTGTGACTCAAAGAGCTATGGTCAACGGCTCAAGTTCCAAGTGGAGACTGGTGATGAGTGGTGTTTTGCAGGGAATGTTACTGGGACTGGTGTTGTTTAACATCTTTGTTGATGACATGGACAGCGGGATTGAGTGCACCCTCAGCAAGTTTGCTGACAACACCAAGCTGGGTGGTGCAGTCAACATGCTGGAGGGAAGGGATGACATCAAGAGGGACCTTGACAGGTTTGAGAAGTGAGCCCACAAAAACTTCATGAAGTTCAACAAGGCTAAGGGCAAGGTCCTGCATGTGGGTTGAGGCAATCCCAAGCACAGATACAGGCTGGGCAGAGAATGGATTGAGACCACTCCTGAGGAGAAGGACTTGGGGGTGCTGGTCGATGAGAAGTTGAACATGCCCTGGCAAGGTGTGTTTACAGCCCAGAAAGCCAAACTGTATCCTGCGCTGCATCAAAAGAAGTGTGACCAGCAAGTCAAGGGAGGTGATTCTCCCCCTCTATTCCCCTCTCATGAGACCCCACCTGGAGTACTGCATCCAGCTCTGGAATCCTCAGCACAGGAAGAACATGGACCTGTTGGAGCAAGTTCAGAGAAGAGCCACGAAGATGGCCAGAAGGCTGGAGCACTTCCCATACAAGGACAGGCTGAGAGAGTTGGGGTTGTTTAGCCTAGAGAAGAGAAGGATCTGGGGAGACTTTATAGCAGCCTTCCAGTACCTAAAGGGGACCTACAGGAGGGACAGGGAAACACTCTTTATCAGGGAGTGTAGTGATAGCACGAGGGGTAATGGTTTTAAGTTGAAAGAGGACAGATTTAGATTAGATATTATGAAGAATTTTTTTACAGTGAGGGTGGTGAGACA